GAGGTAACATGTTACCACGGCCATTAATCACACAACCACGGCCGTGGTCCTAAACACCCCGGTCACGAATCGACAAAATGGACCATGGTCGTGAGGCGATCAAGGTTATCTGTATGCAATCGACCTAAAACCACGACCGTTAATCATAAAACCATTGACCATGGCCATTAAACGAATAAACACGGCCATGAATCATTGACTTACGTAACTTCTTTTACCCACAAAAATACTGATAAAAATTCAGAAATTCCATTTACTCCAACTAAATACATCATATTCTAGACGAATCGAAAACAATATTATGAACCAATAAAAAACTAACCTCGTTCAAGGTGTCAGAGATGAAAAATTGGCTTCCTTGTGAAAAATGTTGGAAAAGGTATGGAAGTTCTTCAAAACCACGTGAAAGATGTGCTTCTGGACAATACGGATGGAAACATACTTTTATTCTCTACACTCGGTAGAGAATATGTGGGTATATAATAAATGATAGTACAAAAATTTGGTGGGGAATTATTAAGTTGGTGGTACTTTAATAAATTCATGACCATAAATCAAGTGGAACTCGCCCATGGTTTTAATTACACCAACCTAGGTGATTCTATGCTAGATTTGTTGTAGTTCAATTCATTTTGGGGTATATTCGTAATTACAGACTCTCTGAAATGTCAGAAAAGTTAAAATTGGGTCAGTTGAGTCAATTTTTATAATTTAGATCATTTGAACAAAATAGAAACTTTTTCAAGTCACGAGTCAATTTCCCACGTTGTTTGCTATAGCATCCACAGAAAATTCCAACTCCACCGTCCCATTCCTGCTCTTCTCAGCCGCGAAATCGCCGGCGACCCGCTGCCACAACGCCGCTCCGGCGGACATATTTACACGGATCATTATCTCTTCCTCATCCTCCAAATGAAACGGCTCCATCACTTTTTCCCAGATCCGTTCTTCTCTGTACACCACCGAAGCTCTGCCCAGCTCCACCCACAGGTGTTTGTATGACCCCTCGTTCTTCTTTACAGATAAAACGGCGTCACATACGGTGGTGGACGACTTGTTCGCCGGAGACACCGTGAAGGAGTGCAGTTTGGAGGACATTTCGGGAGAGGTCCCCAGTAAGGGGGCAGTCGTGGCTACTACCATAGCTACAATTATAAGTAGATGAACAACCACTACCTTTGCCAAATTTCCACTTTTGTTACCGGCGGTGATGGTCGTTGTCGTGGGCGGCGGCGGTGCCGCTGCTGCTGCCGGTAACAGTGGATGATTTGTTCCTCTGCCACCTTGTTTTTTCGCAAAACCAGTTATACTACACTTTATCTCTGCAGGGCAGCCGTGTTCTTGTGGTTCTTTTGGCTTTTTGTCCATCTAAACCAAGAAGATGAAAATTGCATAAAGAATGGGAGAGAGAGAGAAGATGAGAAGAACTCTGGATTTGGTTCAGGGATTTAAGAGGGAAAGTCGAAAACTGAATCCCCAATAAAATTGGGATCTTACGCCAACTGAATACCCTCTGTTTGACAATCTTCCTTGAGGGAAGGCATGGAGAAAATGCAACCTGTCAAGAACCAAAATGGTTATTCTTCAAAAATAAATATTTTTGATTTGGGTCTGTACATACGAATATGAAGAAACATAAAAAAACAGAGGAAAGAAAACGTTCCCAAACGGGAGGGACAAGCCCTTAATTTGAAAAGAATTTCAGTTTTTTTATTGATCTGTATTGTCTGTCACTATGTACAACATGAGATGCATTAAAGGAACTACTGAATCAGGCAAAAAAAAAAAAAAAAGTGACAGTGGTCTACAGTACAAATAGCAGTCCCTCATGTGCAGAAGCAGATTACAACCAGATTAATAATTAGGCTTGAGACCAGAAAAACCTGACTGCAGATTCAAGAACTCCGGGAGTTGTCTTCGATCATCATTCCTTTCAGACTCTTTGCTAGCCAGATCGCTGTCTCTCTTGGAGAAACTTTATCTTTCCCGAAAGGCTTCAGGACAACTGCTAGTTCCTCCAATCTATTGTGTTGCAGCAACTCTGCAGATAATTCTAGTAGCCCTTCGAGTGCCTCGGCCCTCTGCCTAAAAGATTTCACATCCAAAGTTTCTTTTGCAGTTGCAGGCACTTCCTCGTCAACCACAGGAGTGATGGGCTTTGTAGTATGCTCAGAAGAATCAGAGTTTGTTTTTGGGACTGAAGGAGGGTTTCCTATGCTGGTTTCTTTGATGCTCGAGTGATCAGAAGTATTTGACTTCAAACAAACGGCATCAGAGTAACCACTGGACTTGAGAGTCAAAGGTGTGGTGGTGGTTCCATTCTTCAACTCCAGTTCATCTTTTACAACGGTAACTAACTTGCCCACATCGACATTCTGAACCCCCACCTCCAAGTTCTCGGTCACTGGCTGTTCACTTCCAACTCGGAAACTACTATGCCGTATAACATGTATCACGTCGTCAAAAGCTGCAGGAAGATGGCTACTGGCCAGCTTTTCGGCCGAGGGATTGTGCAAAGTGGTTACTTTATCTGGCAGCAAGCACTTGTGGGTTGATGTACTTGGAGAAGCTACCAAAGCTGTAGATTCTGCAACTGATGATAGAAGTTCCCTTACGGTAAATTTGTCGTCACCGAAGGAAGAAGTTATATTCGTCTCTGTTACCATATTAGGCCTATTATTGCTTGGCATGTTTATGGGTATATCATCTTTAAAGATGAATCTTTCTTCAGATCCCAAAGGAAGATCGAGTTCCGCACTAGGACTCTCTTTCTTCACCCCAGCTTCAGTATTATGAAGATTAACATTATCACTGGAGATTTCAAAGGAGCGTTCTGTTGGTTTGGCATCAACCCCATGGTTTCCCTTGTCCCTCAATAGTTTATGTTCAGACATCTCGGACTGCAAATAAGGTGAGCAGCTGGGAGGATGTGTTTCTTCAATTTCATCATGTTCAACAATTTGATGATCAAAAAGTGGCTCTGTTATATCAGAAAATGGAGTTGCTGCATCATCACAAATTTCAAATCCTTGAATTGACACCGAAGATGAAACAGAATTACTACTATCTGTTTGCATTCCTTTAGAACAATGTTCTGAAGTGTTATGTTGGGTCTCTTTTGATAACTCCATGGACACAACATGATCTTCGTGACTACTGTGCACTTGATTTGAAGTCCTCCCTTCCTCAGATGTCTCCTTCTGACGGATATTTTCCATGGAACTTACTGCATCTGGAACATCGAGCCCAACTTGCCTCGTCCTTGCTGGAAATGATGGTCGTCTAAGCAAATTAGGAGGGGTTCTTTGCCTTGACTTTGCAGAAAGTCCATCTTCTACTTGTTTTACAGGATAAAGAGGGGGAGAACTATCATGTCTCGGTTTAGTCTTCGGAGTCGGATCAACCACAGGTAGCTATGAGAACAAAACAACAAATATTGATAATTGATAAACTATAGATAATGAACTGAGACAAATGAAGCTTAATTATACCTGATGCTTTGAAGTAGCTACAACCTGGATTCTTCTTGAGGATTCAATATTTGCCTTTGCTGGCACAGTTATAGGCGTATCTGCATTAGACTTGGAACCAGGCACTGCCACTGGAGGTTTGATGACTTTAGGTGGCACTTCAGCATGTGCTTTTTGGTTCGATGCTACTCCAGACTTTATACGGTTACCTCGAATTGGTGAATAGTTTTCCCTGACTTTTCCTTCTTTTAAAGCTATCATGATATTTCTAATGGTCTTTGGTCGTCTTGATTCGGTATTAGATTGATGGTCTTCTTGAGAGGGTTTGGTAAGCATCGGATCATTCACTTTGAGAGAGCATATGTTATGAGTTTGTTCTTCACAAGGAAGGAGCGGCTCCRATCCATCGTGATCGTCAACAGACGCCATATCACTTTCAGTGACTTTATCATCACAGTTTGACACTGTGGCAGGAGTATTTTTCTCGCTCGAAACCATACTGTCTTTGTCACTGTTTGAACTGTTACTGTTTTGACTCTCTGCCATACTTCTCCGGGAATCCCGAGCAGATCTAGGCTTCTCTGGTGTGAAGTCCACGGTAGGAGAAATGGAAGGCCGGTATTGTTCAATGAAAGGTTGCAAATACGGGTGCTTCAAAAGCTCAGAAGCCTGCACAATTGAGGAATAAAAATAAATGACATCAAATCCTGCCGGTAGAAAACTCTTAAATGTTGGTAAAGTTGATATGGGGAAAAGCTAACATTTGGTCTGTGCTCCGGGTTCTTTCTTAGCATGCCCTTAATAAGTGTTTTCCTGAATGTAGAAGAGAATAAGAGTTTCAGTATTCAACTTTGTACAATAATACAAGAATAAGTCGTCTCAGTTTACAAAGTTAGTTAGCTTTCCAAACATATTTATGGTAAATTTGTGAATCGAGAATACGTATGCTAACTACCTAAAACAACAAACCATATCTACTTGTTAATAAAATTTGTACACAATTCTGACAACAAGAAACCAAAAGGGGACATGATTAACGGAACAAGTTCCTAAAATACTTAAAAAAGGAAAACAAAAGATAAGAGAGTAAAAAGTACTCGATCCATACTTCCTCAGACCAATGAGATATTTTAATTTATTTTTTTAAATCAGAATTTCAATTTCAACGCTGAATCAGAACTCAGTGAACTCTTAAATAACTGAACTTAGCAAAAATAATCTTTAATGGTCAAAATTCTCTAGAAACGTTTCCTTTAATCTTCCAATGATTTTGGACAAGATCAAACCCAGAAAGCAGTAAACTTTATGAAACTGTAGTTTTCAACTTACAAGGATGGTGAGTAGCAGGAGGGCAAGGGACCAATGGATGAACGATTAATCTTGCTAATGAGTCCTGCCATGTCCTGAAAACAGTTATGTAGTCTCAAATTAATTCATTTATTAAGATAATCAAGTGTAGTTTAAGCATCATATGCAGAAAAAACAACTATTTTATAGCATGCAGCAAATTAAGTCTAGATATTATTGAAAGAAAACAACATTTGAATGATGAATAAGGGCGAAAAAATCCCCGAGAGAATTCAAAGCCAGACAATCGAAAATTTCAATATTAGCATAAATAGAACTGCACTAAATCTTACAAAAGCTTTAAAAGCCGGGCGATGAGCAGCCATCTCATACATACAACAACCTGGTAAAGAAAGAACAACTTAGTAATGGAAAATTGAAGCAATAAGTATTGGAGTGTGATTGCAGAATGCATACCAAGAGACCAAATATCAGATTTGAAGCCATAAGGAATATCAGCTAGAAGTTCAGGACACATATAATTGGGAGTTCCAACCACCTAAGCACGAGCGAACAAAACACAACCATTATCTTCACAGTCCACACAGGAACCTCTTTACCACTCTTTAATTTGATTGATAAATAGAAACAAAGAGTCCTATAATCTCTATGCTCTGTAATAAAATTTGTTAGCATAAAAGAGATTACAGATATTGCATCCTCAATATTGGAAAAAATATATATTTTAGTGAATAAAGACCTATATATCTTCGTATCTAGAAATGGAGGCTAGCCACTTGGCAAACCTTCACTCTAATCTGATGGATAAAGATTTAATCAACGAGTCATATGTAGTATTGACCGAGTAATTGGAAAAGGAGTAATGACAAGAAACAGCAAACATAGTATTCCCAACTTCTATCATCCAGCTATTAGTTTCTTTGAAGTGAGTAATCAATAAAAAGTTTCTAGTCTTACAACTAGAAAATAATCTCCAAGTAATAAGGATTAATTATAAACAAAAAAAAAATATCAGCTAATGTATTACTCTTATTAGTATTCGCCAACCATTAGATACTTAAAAGAAACCAAAAGAGATAGTGATGAAAGCATCATGAGCGAAATTAATTTGCAGGAAAAAATACACCATAGCCAATATATGGTAATGGTTACTACCCTAAACTATTAGCTGCTCTAAAGTAACACCAAATAAAAGAATTTTGTGAAAATTAAACACTCTCATTGGGAATATTATGTGTAACCTTCGATGTCAAAAATATGAATCATAATACAAAGCAATTCAAGTATATGGGCCATACCGAAGAAGCCAAGTCATCCGCTTTTAATGTCTTGGCAAGTCCAAAATCTCCTACATTGAAGAAATGCAACAACAAACAAAGTCACCACAACAATTCAAAAGCTTATCCTAAATATCACCGTAATTAGCACTTGACAAAGTTGTACACAAACCCACCAAGACGGACATCCTGATCCTTAGTGAGAAAGATGTTGGAACACTGCCAAGAAAGGTTAACGTGAGTCTAAAAGTAACTAAAATTAATACAAGAAATATACTATTATGACTTATCCGAACAGTCACCCATACTTTAAGGTCGCGATGCAGGACAAAATTTGAATGCAGGTACTCAACCGCCAATAAGAGCTGTGTAAACCACTTGCAAAGTTTCTGTTCACAATCATCAATAAAACACAAGCACCCAGCTACCGGCTTTTAATATTTGCATCTAGTATAAGAAATCGAATACGGAAAAAGAAAAAAGAAAAAGGAAGAGAGAATAAGAACAGAGGAAGATAAAAATACCTCTTCAGGAAAATGCATCCCATTTGACTTTTTCATTAGCTCTGCCCTGTTGTATAGAATAAATGATCAATAAAATGATTCAAACTTCATTTTCTAATTCACAATGATTGATTATGCAAATCTCTAGAGAAAAATTGACTCACATATCTCCACCTTCACAGTATCCGGTAACAATGCAAACGTAGCAGCCCTGCGTTTACAGATTAAAAACTATCAACGAGCTTCAAGAAAGCATAGCACTGTGGAGTAAAGAAGATTGAAGAAACGGATAATAACCTTCTCAACCCAAGCTTCTTTAAACTCAACTATGTAAGGGTGTTGAACTCGGGCTATCAGCGCCATCTGCCATATCCCGGGAATGGGGAAAAGGAACACTAACTCCTTAACTAGTTATTCAAACTGGAAAACGCAATGAGATGAAGTACAATAAGAAGCAGAAGAAATGTAATCAGACCTCTTGATGAGCAGATCTCCGACATCGCTCGGTCTGCCGCGCGAGCCTGATCTTCTTCAATACGTACCTGAAGATCCCAAAGGAATGAATCAGTCGGTGCAAAATCAAACATCAATGGAATGAAAAGTAAAGAAGAAGGGGGGTGCACTTTTTCTTCTCGGATTTGTGATTGACGAGAATGGCGGCTCCAAAAGCCCCGCGGCCGATCTGCTCCATGATCTCGTACTGATCCATACGAGATTCCATCTCTTTCGATCTCCTCGATTCCGCTAATTACAACTTCCAACTAAAATCCCACCCGAAATCAATGGAAAACCAAGTCCGTCACTAGAATAGAACAAGTTCATTCCCCTACTCCCACTCCATTGTCGAAGACTGAAACAGAAAGAGGAGACTGCAGTATTCAGATCTCCAATGCCTCCTCTGGAGCCTAAACCATTAAGTGAATCAGTCCAATACCGAGATTTCACAAATCAAAGAGCAATCTCCAAAAAAGAGAAAAAATCATTCGGCGATTAAACATTCTGGGATCTTGCTTTCCCCGCCAAATGCCATTTCTGTATGACAGCTCCCTTTTTCCCAGTTGAAAACACCCGATCCAGCTCGCAATCGCATCGCCACCAAAAGTTGTAAATTCTTCATAGACCCAAAAAAGAAAAAGAAAAATTGAAGAAAAATACAGAATCCGCTCTTGTACTTTTCTCTTCCAGTTATTAGTCCAAGTGAGCCACGCTTATTTTCCTTTTTTTTTTCTTTTAAATAATTTAGGTCGCAGCTCAGTCCCCACATGAACGCTCCTTCTTCAGTAAATAAAATAAACATTATAAAAATTTAAAATGAAAACAAACAAAAAAAGAAACAGTCGGGAGAAATTAGAATCACCCAGAAATGAAAAAGGAAACACATAAAATAGAAAGAAAAAAGGTTGAATCTTTGAAATTGGTTGTTTGAACTGTTAAGTGGATATTTAACTACAACGGTCTCGGATAATGCATCTTACTTTGCCGACACTAATTTTCTCACATTACCAAATAAATATGAATAATGTTCCTTCAAAAAATATATATATGGATACTGTTATTTTTATTTTAAGTTAAATTATATATTTTTTCTTTTCTTTTATGTTTTAAAATTTCCAATTTAATATTCAAAATATATATCTTGCTGTTTTTCATCATTAAGTGACAATATTAAATGTAACAAAAAAATAATAATGTAACATTGATATACAAATAGTATTTTTAACATTAATGCACTGGGACTGTTTATGAATATAGTTAGATAAGAACATTTCTTACGATGTCAAATTTGTTTTATTAAAAAAGAGCGGTTTAAATTAATAAATTAAAATATATGACTAGTTTTAATATTCTAATAATTTAAAAACATAATTGACGTAGAAAAACATGTGCACGAAATGTTTAAATTGTCGGGTTATTTTTTTTATTGTACTCTTTTGGATCAGCCTTTTTATTTTTTTGGTTCTGACGCATTTATTGTTTATTAACTTATTTTTTTTCGAATAATATGTAATTATTTATTTTTTTATATTAAAAGAAAGAGAGGGAGAAAATTGCAGTCCAACCACTGGAAACATTTTGATTGTTTTTAAAGCTATGAGCTGAAATTTCGACTTCACGAGTAATTTCTCGTAGCATTAATTTTAGACAATGCATAATGGAATATTATCGTGCGGTAAAATCAAACATTTTTATTGTATTTTTGTAATTAAGGTCATCCAATTGTTGAAATATGGTTGGTTCCGTGAATATTTTGGTTAGCTTGCACCAACTTCGACCAACTTTACAGGACAATCGACCCTACTTGTTAAGAAAATTCATAGAATATTAAAACCTATTTTGTAGTATCTGTGTAATTTTTGTTGAGTTGTTTCCGCAGATAATCTTATTTATCTTTTTTTTAAAAATGATTGTATTTTCAAGTAATTAATAAAAAAGTATTTTAAAGTTTAAAACCTCTCTTTTGTAGCATACACGTCAAGTTTAATAAACCAAGAGATGATTATTTTTAAAAAATAAATAAAACTGTACTTTAGGTAAAGGGGTAAATGATATAATAGTGGTAACTGGTAACAACAAAAACAGCAGGCCAACAGCTTACCAAAACACACATGAATAATTTAATTTAATATTATTGGAGTAATAATGTTTAAATTTTAAATAAGGTCTGTTTCAAAATAATAATAATAATGTTTAAATAAGGGCAACGCAGGTTGGGGAAAGCACGTGGCTTGTAGCTACCAATGCGCTGCCAAGTTGCGGCCTTTGCCGGCTGGATTGTGGATTTTTTTTTNAAATGTATCATTCAAACTTGTGATTATTTACTTTCAAAATCAAATTTGATTATAATAACTCTTTTAAAAAAATACAATTTAGAATATAATTTGCCATGCCTGAACTGAATCTTTTTATTTCCCTAATGGCTTACTAGTTACTTTAATGATTGTATCAATTTATTCTAAACTTATTTTGTTAAAATTATAGATACGCCCATCAAATAAATTTAGGATGGTATAAAAAAAAAATTCCTATTTAATATAGTTAAATTACAAGTTTAGTTTCTAAACACCCAAAGTAGTATAATACATCTTTATAATTTAGAAAATATATAGCAACTCTAACCTTTTGATTTTATTGTTTAATAGATAGCTTAGATACTTTTCAAATTTCATTTATGAACCTAACACAAAATTGATTTTGCAAATGTCTAGGGGTGAAGTACGTCTAGAGAAAAATACTAGAAGCTCACGTGACATGCTAAGTGAAGAGCACTGAGCACACCATACGAACGACAAATACGATTAACAAACCTGGCACTTAGGCACATAGAGCGACTGGTGACATGTTAAGTGGTTGTCCTTGATGGAGTCGCGCCACTTTGAAAAGTCAGAGGGGGTCCCACATCCTCTCCATCCCTCCCTCTCCCCATATAAAAGTGATGCTTAAACCTTAATTAAGGTAGGCAAAATTTCACTATCTAAAAGGCGGGTGCTACATACTTGTTTGTTCTTACCCGTAGGCATTGAAGTACAATCGACATAATACCACACAAATATTAGGTCTTTATGCTCAGATAAATCTCTATGTATGTGGCAACTACATAAAACTTGTTCAAAAATCAGCATTAGCATCAAATATTGTATCTAGTAAGTTTCCAACCTTTTTAATTTTGTGTCTATAAATTTTTTAATTTTATAAAATATTTGATAAATCAAAATTTATTATATACAAAAACTAAAAATTACATGGCTTATTAAACACTTAAATTTTAGAAAAAATTAAAATGAATTCACTAGAATTGTAAATTTGTTATTGCTTGTGTTGGTGAATTGCAATGTAGGGCGGGGAAGTAATTGAGGGAGTGGGGGCGTGTCAGTTAATACGGCCGAGGGAACATCCCTGGCGGCTGGCTCGGAGCGAACAAGCCGCAATCATACAACCAAAACCCACATGCCAATTCCCTGCATCCGCTGTCTGCTGCTGCCCCGCTGGCGTTGCACCATGGCACCCACCTCTGCTAACATGCGCACATGTGCCCTCTTTCCACCCCTTCTACCACTACACCACGCCTCCATCTCACGTGCCCCGGCCCTCGGGTTCGGTGGAATGAGTGATTTAAAGAAAAGCCAAGTTAAAGTATAATTGATTTTTTAAAATCACCATCCAAGTGATAATTTAAAAATCAATTTACCTTCACTAAAAATAAACATAATTAATGAAAAAGGAAGTAATTTCAATAACGGTAAGTTAAAATCACTCTCAAACACACTATAACGCCCCAGGCCCAGAATTTCACTTCCAATATGATGTGGTTCAGGAACGAATCAAGGTGGAAGTTAATGGTTATGTGACGTCCGAGTAGAGAGAAATGATAAATTGATACCACATCCGAATAAGAAGAATCTTGAGACTATAAAAGCATGGTTAAGAAAAATTGATAGTTACCCTATATACTATAAGCTCTAAAATAGTGAGAACAAAGTAGGTTGAAAAAATTCATATTGGCATGTAGCAAGGAAAATATATATTTTTTGAAAAACCAAAGAACCATTACATTTTTAGATACAGTCAGCATTTCAAAGCAAGATAGATGGAAAATCAAAAGAAGCAACCATTTTGATTTTGCGATTTATATAATTTAAAAATAAGTGGTGAGTGTCAACCGTAGGGCGGGAACTAGGAAGCAAGGGCAGCAAGCAAGCATGTTAGAATGGCGGAAGGGAGAAGATGCAGATTTGGCGCGATACTTAACAACGTGGAGGCCCACAATTGGTGGCCTGCCACCTGGATGCGCACATGGCTTTCCATTATTATTTATCCGCCTCTATAGTCTTAACATTCAAACTTTGCACAGCTGGCCTAATTTTTGTTTTAGTTTTAGGGTTACTTACATTTGTCTTGTTGACTATGTTTGCTCTAGATTTGTTTTGTTACCAATATTATCTAAAAAAAAAAAAAATAGAACTAAAGATTAAAAGAGAGCACCACCAAATAAGAGAAAATTATTATTGGGTAATTAAGTAAACTCATTATCGATACCATGGTTGTTTTGTTTTCAACTAAAATTATGCAAACAAAAGATTATATAGATGAAACAACTCACTTAATATTAACTAAAAGAGAGGTGTCATTAATTTTTCACAAATCTTAGAGCTAAGTTTAATTGTTGTTCATAGTTGTATTCATGGTTGATATTTAACAAATGAGATAGTAGCTTTTATTTATAATATAAATTATTGCTTCGAGGCTATATCATTCCAAATTTTTTCTTATGTGTGTGTTTTTTTTTTTTGCAGTGAATTATTTGATTTAATTTTTGTTGGCTATATTATTGGCCCAATAATACTTGAATACGACAAATATCATAAGTTCCATAATGGTAAATATACGCTTCCAAGTGGGTCCATTCCACTTAATTTCCAACTAAATTGAACACGAACTTCATTAAAATTTGATTTGATCATTAAATCGATCATCAAGAGAAAATGACGAATTTTGACTGAAAAAAAAGGACCAAACTAAACCAATTAATGGGCTAACATAAAAATCACATGATTGAGTTTAGTTACCAATCATGTTTCAAACCAATAATTAATTCTCGCTAAAATTACTAATTTCAATATAATCATCAACAAAATCCTTAAAGCTTAGAAACTTCGTAGAGGTTTCCAGATAGCATAGGGTAAAATTATGATTGCGTTGGAAAGTAAGCTGACATGGATTTAAAGGATAATCCCTCATTTGCAGGTTGAGGAAACCCACATTAATTTCTCATTCGTTTTCAGCCCTAACAAATATTTATAATTAAGTTCTTTGGATGTTTGGAGTTAATTTATAAATGCTAAACAAGTTTTATTTATTTTGAAACTAATTCTTAATTAATGGATATGAAGGCAATAATTAAATTATTTCTTTTTATATAATAAATATATATGGACTGAAAAGTTATTGGACGTTGATTTATGAGGTAGGCTATGAGTGTAATTACAGTTATACCCTATGTTTAAATTTAAAGTCTGTCCGATTTTTTTAGTACAATAATAGAGTGGAGATTGTGAAAGTGAGCATATCTTAACTGTAATTGTCATGTATACGTCTAATTGAAAGGTGTAGGTTCTCATCGATCCCACATATTGTACTAAAAAATGGGGTGAATTATTATCGGAGGTATGCATCTTAAGGAACTAGCTAAACTCATGCTAAAACTATTTGATTTGAGCTAA